GGGTGAAAATCACACCAATCGCAAAATTTCATGAGAAATTAAGACCCATCCTGAAACCCCAAGCGGACATTTCCGAAGCATGTTTCGAACAGTTTCTGTGGTAACGGAAGTTGCCAAAAGATCGCAAATTTCCTGACACCGTAGTCGCTAATTAGCCATAATGGGATTCATACAGTGAGTAGATTACTAAGTATAGTATAGTACATTGAATTGATTGGTTGTTGTTCGTTGTTACGCATGATACAATGATACACACACACAATTTATTGTGAATACAGAGCAGTGACTCATACTCATGCTACTGACTGACACTTACATAGCATCTGAAGATCAACCATCCAACTCAGTAGTAGAATAATGGGCTCTCCTTTCACTACAGGCCGGTAGCTGGAAAGCCGCCAATCGGCTTAGTGGGAGTTCTCTCCCTTGGCTGCATTGCCAACACGGAGCAGAAAAATCACGAATCAAAAAAGACAGTAAGGTCGACAACAGGGCTGCCAATGCTTGGGTGTTTCCTCCAGATCTGGGTGTTTATTTGACGCTTCAGGGAAATCCAGAGGTTGTTTTAAAGTAAATATATCCTTATATAAAAGTGGTATTAGTTGCCACGGATGTGACTCCTGCAGATCTGTATGACTTACTGACCGATAAATTTGCGTGGTTAGGGGTAGGGTTAGGTTTAGATGTGACAATTTTGACACAGCAGTTCCAAATAATCGCGCACAGTCACATACACACCCAAACAATCAAAGGACTGTGGATGCTACTCAAACGGACAATTGGGCACCAGCCGCGCGCTATTGCCGTCATATTTGGGAGACTTCTAGTGGCGCCACTCCCACAAGCATCAGATTGTCGGCCATTATTTGCAACTCCTACGTCAATATTTTCACATCTAATCCTAATCCTAACCCAACCCCTAATGTTGCTAACCCTATCCCTAACCCAAACCCTACACCCTATGCCACCGTATGATGACTACGCAACCGTACGATGATAGGTAAGTATGTCATTTGATTCGTGACTTTTCCGCTCCGTGTTTGCAATGCAGCCAAGGGAGAGAACTCCCACTAAGCAGATTGGCGGCTTTCCAGCTACCGGCCTGTATTGAAAGAAGAGCCGAATAATGGTTCTGAAAATCAGATGAGACTTATAGAAAGGGTAAAAAAGTTAAAATTCAATATTATTGATTATAAAAAAAAAAACAGTAACATTTCATAGTATTTTATTAATAATTAATATACTGGTATTACTAGAACTAATTAGCAATTGTTAGCATCTCAAGATTCAACACATCTTAATGGCAAGTGTCATCATACACTGTAATTACTCATACCGACACACATTACCCACCTAACCCTGTACCAGAAGAATTATTCTGAAAACATTCTAGGACTTTCAGAGACATTAAAACCATGTTGAATATTCTTAAAACCTATGAAAAAAAATAATATTATTAATATTAGTCAGGTCAGCGTCTGTGTGGTAGTGCCGGGTTCGATCCATGCTGTGGACGATTTGTCTTGCGCTGGTTTCGACAGTGGTACCGAGAGCTGACCATAACCATTCAGGAAGCAATAGCGAACGACTGAACATAAAATTTGCCTAGAAAAACCACAACAGCCAATAATTACTGGATTTGGTTCTGCAACATCCTGTAGAGGATACGCAACTAACTGTCAGTTATTAGCTTATCATTTCCACACACTTCATGTGTCTTGTAGCCTTACACAGTATCTCACACTGATACTTCTGCAGATCACACACACACAGCTATAAGCAGAAGAATGCTTCTGAAAATCATTTGGACTGATCTTTTCTTTCTCTATGGCTGTTACTACCTCATCAGAGTGTTGGTTCGATATGCGAGGATCTTCTTCTGTGTAAACACTTAGCATAAGTTGATCTTTGCATGAGACTGATTAACCAGAATAGAAATTGAAATAGACTTTAGCAAACCCAAGGAGATTGATTGTAAGTTTGTTTGTCGTCATCAGGAAGTAGGTCCTTCGCAAAATGTCGCTCTTATCAGGGATTGTCTGAAAAAACTTGGGTCTCTCACAGCTGTCACACCTTGTATAGTTTCATTTTCAAAGAGTCACTTATATCCTGCCCCTATCTTTGGGTTGGCGAGCTCCTGCCCGTCCTTCCTGGTACCATAACTTCTATTACTTTTTCCAATCTGCCACTGCGCTTGGTAAAATATTTCAGCTTACGAGTCAGTTCAGTGTTGTATTTAAAAAAAATTTACTTTCAAGTTTTTATATAAAGTATTTACAGGGTTCGTAGTGGACCGGGACACCTTGAATTTAGCGGGAATTTTTTTTCTGGGACCAGGAACAGTGATTTTAAGCTTAATAAAGACATTCTGACCTTGAGAAGCCGTGAATTTTGACCGCTGCAATGAAATCCGTCAGAAATCCTGTGATTTTCAGCACAGGCAATTTTTGGGGAGCCATTTGGCTTTTTTTATTGCCATTTGGCTAGTTTTTGACTGCTTTTGTTGTATGGTCGTTTCAGGTGTGAGGGCAGCTGATTATTGACTATTTTCAGCCAAAATGGCTTGTTAAAGGCCAGATAAGGGCGGGCTGTTTTGCAGATCATGAATACATGCAGACAGCAGCGGTGTGGCATGGGGCGGGAAGTAGCAGCTTCCGCCTGAGAGTACATAAAACATCCATTATTGTGGGAAGGTGATTGATTGATTAAAGCAATTGGTAAAATAAAAATGTAAAAGTAAAGTACCATTTTCCACGCCTTTGAGGCATATTGGTTAAATAGGGCTAGACCTATATTTTAAAGACAAACAGTGCTTGATGGGTGATGTAGTCAGCATCATGCCGGCGGCCTTTACTTCCCAGGACTGCAGCTGGTACCCACTCAAGGCTGGCTTGTCCTGGGAGCCAAGCTCATTTTATGAAAAAAGTCCGGCCTCTTTGAGGAACTGAACCCACGACCTTCTGATCCACAGGCGAGCATCTAGCCGCTAGACCACGGCTGCTCCCAGTTGGTAAAATAACATTCACTAGTTTGTTTCACAAAACAGACAAGTTGTCATCTACAGAGTCAAAAATAGGACTACAAATAAGTTATGAGAAAACAAATATATGAAGATGCCAACAACAGATCAAATAGTCATGCTAGAGAAGAAACCAATAAAAGTAACTGATCATTTCACTTATTTAGGTAGCAGTTTAAAAACCTTAACAAAATATGGAGCTCTAAGTTATACAGCTTTAAGACAAAACTACAAATCTTCAATTCAAATGTTATTTCAGTTCTAACTTATGCCAGCAAAAGTTGAACCATAAAAGAATTGGAACAAAAGTTAAAAGCAGTTGAAAATAAATGTCTGAAAAATAATTAGCATAAAATAGGATGAATTCAAAAAGAGTGAGGAGATCATAAAAATGTCTGGACAAATACTTGTATTGACTGCAATAAGACAAAGAAGGTGAAAGGCTGCATGGTCTCGAGGCATGGTGTCCGCCTCGAGCCCTGGAGACCCTGGTGAAGGCTGGAATTCTTTTCACAAGGACTTCTAGTAATTTCCCCCTGGTCCCTGGGTAGTAAGATTGGACACCCATATGTATTGTTGTGCACGCAAAAAATCCATTGGCAGTTGAAAATCTATGAGTAGCCTTACTGTGCTGCCATGACAAAATTTGGAGTTAAAAATCTACCCAAAGTATTTTCATGGTCCTCGCAGGTGCTATGAAGTTCATTCACTGAGCTGAATTAACTCAGGTTTGAGTCAAAAGTAGAACGGAGCACTTATGGGTTACTACCCTTGTGCCATGATGTTGATCTGTTGTCTAAACCTAAAGAAGGTGGAGATATATTAGACATACTCTGAGCTTAAGTAAGCAAAGAATTACAAAACAGGCACTGAAATTGGAAACAAATGGTCTGAGATAAAGAGGTTGTCCAAGAAAAACATTATTACGAGATGAAAAAATGCTGAACTCCATGTCAGAAATGGAGAAAGATGCATGCAGAGTGGAGGAATCAAATACAAGCCTTGACGGCACACAAAGGATAGTGATGAATTTTAGTGCTTTCATTTGATCATCTGTGTTTGACATAATAAACATTTTAAGGGGTGCAGAAGCAGAAATAAACATGTCAACTAAATTGCTGTACGTTTTATTTAGTCTTGCTAAAGAAGTAACAGACTGGAGAAATAGATGTCTGATAAAGTTAATAAGGAAGGGAGACCTATCAGAGTGTAACAATTATAGAGAGAAATGATGCTGTTTTCATTTCCAGGGAAAATAAAGAAGGAAGACCTGTCAGTGGTGTACAAATTATAGAGAGAAATGATGCTGTTTTCAGTTCCATGGAAAATTTTAAACAAGCTCATAGCTGTTGAATTACAGGCCGTTCTTTGCAATTTGGCTTTTGCTTGAATCATTCATACATCAAGCGAGCATTGCCTGTGGAAAATATTGGGGACCTCGCCATGTAGTATTTCCATAGTAAACAGTTAATACACCGTAGCCAGTTTTAAGTTTGCCAACTCTGATCGATTTAAGCTGATAGCCACTGACTGCAGTAATCTCTTTTGTTGCACTTCCCACCTCATTGCCTAATATGTTGTCAAATACATGTTAACACAATTGACATCCCTCTACGCTGAGTCTAGAAACAAGACTAGTTGACTAGCCGAAACATCTCCCCACATGCAGGGGTGCAGTACTTACCAGTTGGTCTTCTCGTTCATTTCCTTTTACTGTGGCATGCCCAGGTGTGTAGATTCAGCTGAGGGCGATAAAGTGCAAATTCCGAATGCTTTCTGCCCATTCATGTCTGCCAAATACAGCAGTTGTTCTTTATGGTCAAGTATAGTAGTTTCCCTCTTACACCATTATGTGCTCGTTAACTGTATTCAAATACTATTTATAATCTTTGTTGCATTTGATTGTCTTTTTTCTTGACAGATAATTGCGGTTCGTTCAGAGGGTCTATGACAAATCCTTCAATGTTTGTGCTTCGGCAAAATGTCCACCATTCCGGGGATTGGCAGTAAAGGGGAGAAGAATAAAAGTAAATTCAAGAGCATAGATATCAATACTCTATATAAGGGAAAAAGCGTCGAGACTCAGAAGTCTACTGGTAAATATTGTTTAATTTAAAAAAATGATTAATGAATATGTACCTGTCTGTCCGGCAAACTTTTAATCAGGTTGCAGCTGCCAATAGCAGTATGGAAACTCTATGTGTTGGCTACTGAGGAAGAGGATTGAGCATGTATGGGAATGTCCAGAATGCATTGGTGTCGGTTCTGGATTCATTCATATGGATCTGTCATAGAAGTGCCTACCTTAAAGAAGCTGTGTTAACGTAGTGTACTGGGGTACAGTGGTCTAAGGTTCAATCTTGAGTTGAGGCAGTATTTGTGTCTCTTTGTGTGTACAACTCTGAAGCTAGCCCAGGCTTGTGGATAGTACAAAACACATATCTCACATAAGCTTGATTTGACCTTTCATGGGATTATCTTTTACTTATATACCGTCACTTTAGTCAGTCAGGTGCAGTGGATCTCAACAGTCTATTGGCTGGATGTACACTCTATCTGCTGTTCATCCAGCTCTTGTTGTATCCTCCCACTTGTATCACAGCCTGTCTCTTGCCCACATGCTTTCAACTTTTCTCTTCATTGTAGTTTTTGTAAGAAGGTTATGTCTTTTAATATTGCTGATTATAGAGCACACGCACAGGCTTCATATGAGTAGCTCGCTGTTGTACCTATGGGATTTGTGTTTGTGCAAACCACAGAACATATCCTGCAAGTCTGTCTCATATACAGCCAGTTCAGAAGGGAATACTGGTCCAATAAGTCAACACTTTACTCAGAGTTGTCTGGAACTAATAGGGAGCTCCCCCAAAAAAGTCAGTTTACTCAAAAGAACTCAGCTGTTGGTATAAATCAGAACGATCACAAGAAAAGGAAGAATATGGCTATAATATCTCACTTCTCTTTTTCCCCTCTCACATATGATGATGACATCTTCTTGTTTCTTACTAGCAAAAAAATTTTTTTTTCCACCTAAGTTTATCAAGGGTCAAAATGTTGAAAACAGGGATCGTCTTGGGCTAAAGACCTAACACCCTGCATAGAAGGATCATTAATACAATACCGCTGGTGATGATCCATAGGCCACTTGCTAGGCCTCTGCGGGCCACATTTGGCCCCGGGGCTGCCAGTTAAATAGCTTTGCTGTAAAGGATACACAACTAACATAGGATAAAACGAGAAGTGTAGTAATTCTTTTTGTGTTGGCTTTCTGATTTATGCTGACATACAAGTTCTTGTGATACACTTGACTGTTTTTAAGAGTTCCATTTTAGTTTCATATAACTTGTAAGTATTGTGTTGACTCAGTGGGCCAGTATTCCTTTCTTAATGGGCTGTACAGAGAACATTCTTGCTGGACATTTTCTGTAGTATGCACACACAGCCCATGTGAGTACAGTGGTGAACGGTAAACTACTTAGACGAAACCTATGCATATGCTTGTTAAGTTTATGTCCTGTCTTAAGGCGTGGGATAATGACCTGCTCTTGCTGGTCAAGCGAGTGTTAGTCACCTATGACCAGACTCTGATAGACTGGATGGTACTTTTTTTTTTTCAAAGTATGTTACTGCATTTTCTTCCTGTTCACATTCTGCCATTCTCCCCTTTTTTGTTGCAAGTTTATCCACAGATTCGTTTTCTGGTATACCAAGTGTGGGAAGGCACCCACTGGAGTACAGTACACTTTTGGGCGGCCACTCTTGGGGCACTGATAGTGCATCTGTGAAGATGACCAATTGGTGGCATTTTAGAAGTGGTGTTGTAACCTTTCAGCAGCTTGCTGTAGTGCTAGGATCTCTGCTGTGTAGTTAGAACAGAATTTACCAGTGGATATATACTTTGTGTGGCAGTATTTGTCTGGTTGTATGTTCAGGGGCCCTGTTTGGGTTATATGGTGGGAAGAATGGATCCACTACCATTTAACAAAAAATGTGTCATAAAAGATTGTCTTGGGCAAAAAAAAAACCCCCAGAAATTGGCTTTTTACCTGTTAGCGACATTATGATGTACCAACAACCCCTGTAAAGACAGATGTAGAAGGAGTCTTTTTATGTGAATTGTTTTAGGGACCCTTTTCCACTTCTTTAGATGTTTTGGGCAAATGGGGCTAGAGCTATATTTTTTAAATAGACCAATCTGCACTTGATGGTCAGCATCGCGCTGGCTGCCTACTTCCCAAGACTGCACCTGGTATCCATTCAGACTGGGTCGCGCAGGGAAGCAGAAAATGCTGGCATAAAAAAAGCATGCCATCGAAAAGCAGAAATTTGATTACAGAAAAGATATTTAAAGAAAGCAGCAGGCATATCGCACTGATTACCTACCTCTTTTCTTTCAATGCTTAGGTTAACTCTGTCAGTACCAGAATATAATTAAATTAGTTATAGATCAATGCATGATGTATTTCTTAGTACCCAGTTAAACTCTATTATTTTCCAATTACACAATTGATGATTTAAAAATGTTGTCTTCCTTAGAAATTATAACACAAGTAGTTGTCTCAGACATATCTTAATCACGTTGTAATCTAATTATTGTGGTAAAATTTGTGGAACCTACCACTTGAAAACTGTTTAGAATCTTTTTTTTTTTAGGAAAACCAGTTTTGACCCTGAACCATATAAGGCACATTGTGGAGAGTTAATATTAGTTTCCTGTTTTTCCTCAAACTTTTTCTGCTGTTTACAGTCAAATGTATTATAAGTAATTGTGTATTTAAAGCTTCTTTGAGGTTTTTTTAAAATCATGTCTGAAAATGTGCTTGCATAACTAAAGCACACTGGTAGCTGCCAGCTGATGTGTGTGCTTTTATTGCAGTTAGTAAAAATGCCATTAGAATTTACAATACGGTTGCTGCCCACAGTCAAAGTTGATGTCACTTATAAAAAATTTTCAGTTCCTCGGCAACATGGACTTCAAAGCTTGGGCAAAGTGTCTAATGTGCGGCGTATGCCGCCTCCGGCAAACTTGCCCAGCTTAAAGAGCGAGAACAGCGGGAACGATCCCAGTGTCAGCCTTGTCCCGAGTGGGGGTTCGGGTAAGTGATTAAATTTTTTTGTGACACTCTGACTCTCTTCCCTTTTAGTTTTACCGTTGTGACGAAATCCAGTTTCTCCTTACTCCTGGTGTGCCTAATTTTTTTTTTGTTTTTTTTGTGTGTGTGGCAATTTGGAATGACAGTAGTCAGTTCTGTTCACGTCTTCTAAGATCTTTTGATGTAAATACTAAAACAGTAGCATAAATGAAACAGAAAAAAAGCAAAGACCCTTTTCCATCACTCGCAGGTATATGGTGATGATGCGTGTTTTTCTAGGCCAGTCTTGCCCAGGATATTTAAAGACAATTTTTATTTTCTTTTTGTCAGTTAAATCCAAACCTGTGACTTGAGAGTGATTCCTCCTGCGCCTTATCAAGGGGCATAAAAAGTGTATAGGCATTCAAGGGAAGTATTCCAGTTAATATTGATGGTGAGGGAGTGTGGAGCTTGAAACAGGTCATAAAAAAAATGTGTTGAAAAAAGCACAGTTGACTATAAATGGCAAACTATATCATGTGCAACATAATTCAATGGGTGATGTAGTTAGTATTACACTGGCCGACTTTACTTCCCAGAACCATCCCCTGGGACCTTTTGTTCAAACTGGTTGACCTGGTAATTAAAGCCAGTGTTAAAACATTCTCATGTTCATTTGTGGTTTTGTAAATGGTATACATTTCTAACTTGGTCTATCCCGTTCTTCAGTTAAAGATTAGTTTTTATTCGTGTTTAGTCCAATAACTGATAAGACCCACATTATTACTGTTTTTGAAATAGTATGCTATTTCTTCTTCTTCTTTGTTCACCGGCTGTAATCTCTGTTGGAAAGTCCTGGTTATTCATCCATTTGGACTTAGGCTTTGTGCCAGGGTCCGAGTTTTGCGGATGCACCCATGATCCTGGCTTATTTATGTGCAGTAGGTTGTTCCTTGCCACTCAGGCAGATGCACTCAGTGTTGGAAGGAAGTCCCCAAATAGTCAACTCCTACAACAGGAAGGAACTGGGTCTGTTCTTTTCCTCACAATGGGTTCCTATAACCTACACAGAGATAGAATGCTATTGAAACAGTGTCTGTAGCCAAAATAGTTCAGTTTATGGCTGTTATTCTGCAGGATGGGTGTCAAAGGACGAGAAGAAAGAGGCCAGTGGAGGTGGAGCTCACCAGCCATTGTTGCAGCCGCAGCAGGCCACGCCTACGCAACCACAGCAGGGGCATCAGCAAGTGGCTGCCAAGGTAATGTTTGAAACAAAATTGTCCTACTGTATTGAAAGACGGTTAAATGAAATATAAAAACAGATAAAACTCTGCTAAACTGCCAATTACTGCATTATTATACCACTTTTGCAGTGCAGGCAGGAGGGGTCTTTGAGCCTGAGGATTTAGAGCTGCATGGCAAGTGCTGTCGCGACGACTGCAGTAAGGACAGAAAAAATCCCTAGCCTTACCGAGGATTCGAACCTGGGTTCTTTACACATAATTTTTATGCGATAGCTTGCAGTGATGTTTATTAATCTGTCAATCCAATGATTTATAATGATTAATTTTTCTTTTAAATTCCTGAGCAAGCATTAATATTTATAGTAGCTAACTGTACTTAGTCAGTGTGTAGCCTGCGCCCTTATCCTAGTTTGTTCTGAGTGTCCATATTTAAATACATGAGGTGAGTTGCATACACAGACTCTATCAACAACTACAACAAAAATGATTCATAGTTATTTATTATTTCTATTAATATTCTCTTGACCCAGCCATTAGACAAAAACACAGACCTGACCCATGATTCTGGTGATTGTGTGAGATGGCAAAACATGACAGCCCATGCCTGTCAGCAGGGCACACAATAATGATGATGACACGTAGAGCAGCGGTCTTATAAGCAGCTGTAATTAGTTTTTGCCCTGGGTAGAATTTCTAATATTTTGAAAGATGATAAGGGAACGGACAATTTTGGCTTGTTCCTGATGATTTCCAACTGTCCCATGGATCTTTAATACATGCAGCTTAATTTACAGGACTGTTATAACAGGATGTGACTAAATTTAGTCTTCTTGGTATCGGAACTTGTGAGCTAAGTGAGAAAAAAGTAGCATCTGGTCAGTTGCATCTCATCTTTAAGGAAGTATTGACAGTATTGCTTAAAGTGTGTGTTGTTTCACACCAGTGCAGTAATAACTGCTGTGATGTTGCCTTTATGCATCTTTATCTTTATCTGTCAGTCTTTTCCAGCTTCTTTTAATTTAGAGCAGTTTGTCCTCTTCTCTGTATTGTTCTTGTCATTGTTGATCCTCTAAGGGGACAAGATCATAAATGACTGTGATGTTTACACTAAAGCATCTTATTTTCAGTCAGCACTTTGCTTTGGGAGTGTGCATACATCCCCCCCCCCCCCCAATTCATATTACTGTTATTGGGTGCTTTATTAATATCTTACCCCAAACAGTGGAAATCCACAGGTCACGGGACAGTCTATTATTTCAGGGGGTGGTAGATAGGCTGCATGCAGTCGTGAGACCTAGGCTGCACTCTCTCGTGGGACATAGGTGGGTTGGGGTTAGAGCCAGTTCTAGATGTTTTGGGGTCATTAAAAGCATCTGAAAGCTGGGAAACCCGGTCTTTCCACCCCCTAAAATGTTGTACTGTCCTGTTATGTCATCTGGGGTAGGATATCGCGAAAGAACCCCGTTATTATTATATTTCATGTTTGTTTCTCTGCTTGACTTCTTTCTAGACCAACATACCGTCTGGGGGGCAAAGCAGTACGGGTGTGCGGTCTTGGAGCAATGTCACAGGGGGTATTCAACAAGGTAGGCCATTTGTTTGTACTCTTGTTACATAATTTGTATACATTGTTATGTTGTCTGAGAGCAACAGTGGTCATACGTTATAACCAGACACAGGTCTGGTTTTTTATCATTCTTTCTCCACCTCTGCTTTTTCGCTCTGTTCATTTTTCTCTGTATATGTTATTCATGTTTCTCCCTGGGTCTTATTTCCAACCTCCCTATCTCTTGTCAGTTTAAATCCATATTTCTCTGTATCTTTCATCAATGCCCCTCTTTGTTTGTCCTAATCTCTGTCTCTCTTTTCTCCTTCCCTACTGCTCTATTTCTTTCATCGATGCTCCTCTTTTATAATCCTTACCTCTCGGTCTCTCCATCCATATCCTTATCCGTGCGTCTCCACCCCTACCTCTATCTTTTAATCCATACCCTTCTTGTCCCCACATCCTAATCCCTACATCTGTTACTCTTTCTCCTTCTATTAGCCTCTACAGTTGTGAAAAATACATTACTAACTGCTTAATATTTATTTGTGTTTTGATTTCAAGGGGGATTAGTAAGTCATCAGTCACCATTATTTCAAGAGGAATTTCCAAGTTTAGCTCAAGAAGAAAAAATCAAAGAATCGGCTCAACCTACGAAGAAGGACGACGACATCAAGGATACTCAATATGGACCAGGGCCAAGTTTGCGACCACAGAGTAAGATTTTGTTGTCATATTTGTAACATTCTGCTTGACGACCAGCTCTTAGACATTGTTGATATATTTTTAGGATACCTTTGCCCACTAAGACAAATTTAATGGGATTCTTAACAATTTAAACTTTTTTAGCCAACTTTATACTACAAGTGTCAAACAATGGTTCCGTACTAAACCAGTGAGCTAAAATCATAACAGAGATGTGTCTGAGTAGAGCTGCAGGAGTAACATGAAGAGATCAAATTAATAATAGAGAAATTCAGATTAGGACTGAAGCCAATCATGCAGTTAATAAAGAGCAACATTCGGGATGGTTTGGCCATCTGACAAGAATGCCCTGGTACCAACTGTCCACAGCCACCCTCAAAATTTATAATGAACAAGGGAAGACCATGCAATAGTAGTTGAATTCGGTGTGCACATATGCAGTGTTTGATAGGCCAGGATATGCACATCATCACTACTTGCCCTGTCGACTCGCCTAGGCATTCTTGCGTCTCCAGAAATCGCGGCCCCGTGTCCTCTGGTTCAGTTCCACTGAGGACAAGGGTATGCATATAGTAACGGAAAATAGTATTTAGAGGAGTTTGCGTATGACCCAAAGGGCATTTTGAAAAGCGAGGTTGTGTGTTAAAGTTTCCCATAAGTCTCACTGATAGAAGTCAGAGTATCACGTTGTGAGTCACCTAATAGGTTTTTTTTACAAACGCCCTGAGGAATGTATTCCATTTAGTGCTTTACTCTCTGTTCATATTTATTGATTACCCTTTTGTGAGTCTTTGTGTATTTCCGATTTTTGGGGTTTTGTTTGGTGGTAACAAATGCACATAAAAAAACATTTTTAAAAGCGTTTATTGCTGAGTAATATGTTTTTTAATGACTCCTCGCGGGAAATTCCTAGGGGTTCATGGCACATTTTGTTTGAGCATTCACACGGAAAGGGGTAAAAAAATGACGAGTAACCTTTTCAGCACATTTAGAATAGGCACATATAAGATCCTTTAATCTGTTCCAGCACTTCGGTGAGTAGCTGAATGAAGAGAAGTAGAATATGTAATGGAGAACAGACCATAATGTTGTGTGCTTTTTCCCAGATGTTGCAAGTTGGCGAGAGGGTGGCGGGCGTGCAGTGCCACAGCTCAAATCAGAAGAACCCACACCAAGTTCTACAAGCTCGAATCTGACAGAAACACAACTGAATGGCCCCCCGACGTCCGGTGGAAGTGGTGGTGGAGTTGTAGCGGTGGCTGATGTACCTCAGCCTCTGCCACCACCTCGTCCTGGCTCTGGCCACGGACTGCCTCATGGATCGCTTCCCATGGGGCCTCCCATGGGAATGCCGCCACCACAGTACAGAGGAATGATGCCACCCTATGTAAGTTATTTTGTTGAACTGCATTTTCCCCCTCTTGGTGACAGATTGAAAGATGTGAAAGTGATGTGCACCAGTGTTGTATACCTGTTAGGTATACATGTTTTGTTTTCTCTCAGGCCTTGCCGACTGTAAATCAAATATGTCCTTTTCTAGAGATATCCACTGTTAATGCATTTTAAAATTCATAATATAGTCACAGCCTAAATTGCATAGATTAGGCTGCTCTGTGTATTTAATTTCTTGATAGTTGCAGGAAGGTTCTGGTATATTATTTACATATTAAAAAACGGTTAAAAGATCCTTTTTCATGCCAGTCCTGCAACAGGCATATGTTAAAAAACAACCTTTTTTCATGCCAATGCTGAATCAGATGTATGTTTAAAAAAAAACTTTTTCATGCCAGTGCTGCATCAGACGTACGCTAAAAGGACCTTTTTTCATGCCAGTGCTGCATCAGACGTACGCTAAAAGGATCCTTTTTCATGCCAGTGCTGTTTCAGACTTGTGTTAAAAGACCCTTTTCATGCCAGTGCTGCATCAGACACACGTTCCCTTTTCCCAATGGTAAACACATCAGGCACCTGATGCTAAACTAATATTTTTTTTTAAATTGACAAGCAGCACATCAGTTATGGTGTTGCGGCTAAACGCTCGCTTGCGGATCTGAAGTTCGTGGGTGAGAATCTAAACGGAGCTGGACCTTTTCAGAAATGATCTTGTCTTCCAGGTGGATCCAGCCTTGTGTGGGTCTGAAGTAAATTCCTGGGAAGTAAAGGTGGCCGTCATGATGCTGACCACGTCACCCACCCGATGTGCCGATTGGTCTCTAGAATATAGGTCTAGCCTTATATGCCTAGTACACACAAAGGCGTGGAAAAAGGTCCTGCAGTGATTTGGTCAGCATTATGCCATCATGGTATTGTCAAGTCTGGTAATGTTGGGATCATTGTGCAATTGCTTGCAGTGATGTTTATTAATCTGTCAATCCAATGATTTATCATGATTCAGCATTTTTATTTCTGAGCAAGCATTAATATTTCTAGGAGAGAATTGTTAAATTTGGCCTCAGTCTTTTGGAGCTTAGTTGGTTATTGAATATGCAGATTAAAAATGCAGGAAGTGAGTTGCTTTTTCACTCGGGCTTAAAAAAAGACCAGAGAGAGAGAGAGAGAGAGAGAGAGCGTACATGTGTGTGTGTGGTTTTTTTTCTTCACTGGCTGTAAACTCCAGCAAAAAGTTCCTATTGCTGGTCCACCTCTGGTTTAGGGTTAAACAATAGATCAGCGTCGTCGCACAAGGGTCCCATAAGTGCTCCGTTCTACTTCTAAGTCAGAAGAATCATAGTGCAGTGCACGAACTCTGCAGCACCAGCACTTTAGTCTAGTTCCAGAACTTGAGATGTGCACATCTGTTTTACCAGCCTGCCTTATTTATTTTAATGCAGATTGTTTTTCACTTTTCTGGTAGATGTACTAATAACTAGTTGATTTTTATAAAATAGTTGATTTTGATTCCTTGCCAAATATAATATCAGTAATTCATTTTGAAAAAGTATACCAGTAAAGTTTGTATAGCAGAAGTAAATAATTGAACAACAGAAAGTGTTGAAAAATATCTGAACCATAAAGTGCTAGTTGTATTTGTTGCAAATCATTGTGACGAGATATAAGGGGTTTGCATGTGAATGCTTGATTGATAAAAAGTAATATATTTTGTTGTTGGTTGCACAATCTTGCCATGATGTTACATCATCTGTCAATCCAATGAATGTGACTGATTACAGCTATGTATTTCTCTGAGCAAGTGTTTGGAAATAGTTGCTTGTGCTGTGATCTGCTGTTGCTGTGCATCCGTTTGGCAGTTTTAAGCAGAGACATTGAATATAAGTAATTGTACATATACCAGCTCTCTAATAGCATATACTTCTGTCTTCTCCATTTGGATTAAAATAGGGTGGTTGGCACATTTTGGTTTACAGTTAGACTGTGGTATTTGCATTTTATGCCCAATACATCTTGTTTCACAATCTGCTATTTTGTTGTTGGTTGTACAACCTTGCCATGATATTTTCCATCATCTGTCAATCCAATGAATGTGACCGATTACAATATTTATCTGACCCAAATGTTTATCTGCACCACAGCTATGTGTTCATGTTCCTTTTCTGTACATAGACCTTGATTGACATGTGCTTCCTTTGTCTTTCGGTTCCTCTTATGATAGCATTTTTTTTCCCCCCAACGCTTCTTGTTGACTTCTACTGTCAGCAATCAATGATTTAACCTGAAGGATCTCGGCGCACATGCACATACTCAGGTATGTAGCCAAGAATCTACTTTTTGCGGCAGACTGACTCTGGCAGATAAAATTCATTATCATTGGGAGACACCAAAAAGTGGCTTTTCATCTGGTTAGTGAGATGTGTAAAAAGCTTGCAATGATGTTCCATCATCTGTCAATCCAATGAGTATTATTGCTGATTATAATAATTTGTTTCTGAGCAAGCATTTAGGGTTCACATAAATTATAAGTTGTTTTGTGAATCTTTGAACAATTGAGATATGATAACTAAATTACACATTGGTTATGAACAATTGAGATAGCCTAAGAACTAAACTACACATTGGTTAGCACTCATAGAATTATAGAACCACATTAATGTATTAGTAGCAGTGATCATTAGAATGTTCACTAATTGCATTAGGTAAATACTACCTTGTGTGGAGACTTATTGTGTAGGTCTTGGGGGACAAGATCTGTTGACCTCTGATGAGCATGTAGAAAACGGCAACTGATTAGGGGGGTTTACTCAAATGAAATAAGTTAGGCTAAAAGATGCATCATGCCAGCCACCCTTTTAAAGTTATAACTAAACGCACCAAATCATTGAACATGGATTTAATAATCTCTTGTTATGATGTACCATCTGTCAATCCAGTGTTTGTTTTCGTGCTGTAGTTATTCCCAAGGACCCAAGCTTGAACGTGAGTTAATCGCTTGCTGTGATGTACCATCTGTCAATCCAATGAATTTTGCTGATTACAGTAAAGTATGATTCTGAGCAAGTGTTTGTATTTTTGTGCTGTAGTTATTCCCAAGGACCCAAGCTTGAACGTGAGTTAATCGCTTGCTGTGATGTACCATCTGTCAATCCAATGAGTATTGCTGATTACAGTAAAGTATGATTCTGAGCAAGTGTTTGTTTTCGTGCTGTAGTTATTCCCAAGGACCCAAGCTTGAATGTGAGTTAATCGCTTGCTGTGATGTACCATCTGTCAATCCAATGAGTATTGCTGATTTACAGTAAAGTATGATTCTGAGCAAGTGTTTGTTTTCGTGCTGTAGTTATTGCCAAGGACCCAAGCTTGAACGTGAGTTAATCGCTTGCTGTGATGTACCATCTGTCAATCCAATGAATTTTGCTGATTTACAGTAAAGTATGATTCTGAGCAAGTGTTTGTTTTCGTGCTGTAGTTATTCCCAAGGACCCAAGCTAGAACGTGAGTTAATCGCTTGCTGTGATGTACCATCTGTCAATCCATTGAATTTTGCTGATTACAGTAAAGTATGATTCTGAGCAAGTGTTTGTATTTTTGTGCTGTAGTTATTCCCAAGGACCCAAGCTTGAACGTGAGTTAATCGCTTGCTGTGATGTACCATCTGTCAATCCAATGAGTATTGCTGATTACAGTAAAGTATGATTCTGAGCAAGTGTTTATGTTTTCGTGCTGTAGTTATTCCCAAGGACCCAGGCTAGAACGTGAGTTGATCGCTTGCTGTGATGTACCATCTGTCAATCCAATGAGTATTGCTGATTTACAGTAAAGTATGATTCTGAGCAAGTGTTTGTATTTTTGTGCTGTAGTTATTCCCAAGGACCCAAGCTTGAACGTGAGTTAATCACTTGCTGTGATGTACCATCTGTCAATCCAATGAATTTAGCTGATTTACAGTAAAGTATGATTCTGAGCAAGTGTATGTATTTTCGTGCTGTAGTTATTCCCAAGGACCCAAGCTTGAATGTGAGTTAATCGCTTGCTGTGATGTACCATCTGTCAATCCAATGAATTTAGCTGATTTACAGTAAAGTATGATTCTGAGCAAGTGTATGTATTTTCGTGCTGTAGTTATTCCCAAGGACCCAGGCTAGAACGTGAGTTGATCGCTTGCTGTGATGTACCATCTGTCAATCCAATGAGTATTGCTGATTTACAGTAAAGTATGATTCTGAGCAAGTGTTTGTATTTTTGTGCTGTAGTTATTCCCAAGGACCCAGGCTTGAACGTGAGTTAATCACTTGCTGTGATGTACCATCTGTCAATCCAATGAATTTAGCTGATTTACAGTAAAGTATGATTCTGAGCAAGTGTATGTATGAACTTCTGTAGTTGGCAGCAAGAACCCAGGCTTTGTTTTTGTTTTTTGTGTGTTCTTTATCCATGACTGTTGTCTCTTATGTTAAGAAATGGTTGGTTGTGAGTAGTAATTTCAGAGTACACAGGTTGCTATATCTTAATTAAGTGATGTTGTATGATATTGCAAACTTCATTCAGTATTTCTCTTTTAATATTCTTTTCATATCAAGAACTAGTACTTACATTAACCACATTTTTTTAATTTGTTATTGAACATTTTATGTGTGTATTGATATCTTTTATGACACTCTTGTCTTCAGTATGAGACTTTTTTAAATGTAAATATTTCTGAACTTTGCTATGATGTTTCATCATCTGTCAATCCAATGAATCTGACTGATTACATCAATGTATTTTTCTGAGCAAGGATTGATTTGGATTAGGTGTGTGTAACTTAAGATTGCTGGACATAACATCTTGAAATTGTTTGATGAGTCCACATTTAGTTTATGTATATCTATTTATGTGTGTGTATATCCTGTATTCTTAAATGACATGATATCATTTAAATCTAGATATACTTAACATGATTGTCCTTTTAGCCAACAGTTGTATTTCATCTTGCATTTTTTCAGTGAATGATTT